CTACTTTAAAGAAATATTAATAATAAAATAAAGATAAAATAATGAAATATATACAAAACTGTATCAAGTTCCCAGGATGACAGTCACATCACCGGTTGGCACTGGGGAAGTCCCAGACTGGACTCAGTGATGGACAGGAACTGGATTCCGGATCTGGATTCAGGATCAGGATCATCAAAGGCAGAGGGAACAGACAGAGTCCTCCTCGGACACCGGCCATTGAAGAAAGAGAGCTGACCCTTTGATCCCTCAGCTTTTATACTGAGCATGAGGCAGATGGGAGGGAATACCCCACTGGTCAGTTTTGGGTCACCTGTCCTGTCCGCTCCTCCGCACAGGTGGGACCCCTCTACGCTTTTCTGCTTCTGACCCTCCAACGGGGCAAATAACCAAGTCAGCTGCCCTTGGGTGTTATAGCAATAAGTATAAGCAAGGGACTCTCTGCATACCATTCCTTGGCATCAACTATAAACATAGGTCTCTTATTACTCTGAGAGCCAACAGTTTCTGCACAATATGCTGTTGATTTCAGTAGTTAGAAGAGGCCTAACTAAGAAGTTACTGAACAAAATTGGTCCTGTTTTGCCTCAAATCAGGACACAGTGCCCTAAGACAAACTCTTGCAGAAAACTAAATTGCTTGAAACATTTCAGCTATGAAAGATCTCACATTGTTCCTCAGGTCAACAGCTCAGTCATTCCTTGAAAATTACCCATGTTGGTATTTGAGTGATCTTTATTCTCACAGGAGTCTGTTGTGAGGAATTTTTACGGAAACAATTTGGCGAAATAGCTGCTCTTTGCCTTCCCAGGTACCCTTCTGGAAAATGAGCACTTGGGACGCGTCTCCATGCATTTAACCAGAGCCTGGCTATCGCTTTCAAACGTGACAAACCTTCTAAAGCAAAGTTACTGATATAATCCAAGTACTAATTATGTGTTGTTGCAAGAAAAAAATACCATGGTGCTGGCTAGTTGTGGTGGTGACTGTGTCTGGGGCCAGGCTTTCTCCCTCTGAGGGGAAGGCATAGTGGTGGGGCTGGAGCTTCTCCTATGTCTACAAAGTATTTGCTCTGGGAGAACTAAGAGAGGACAATCCCCCTTGCAACCTCTAGGTTTCAGTATTATCAAAATGACTTTTTACACCAAAAAAAAAAACCAAACCCAAACTCAAACCCCCAAAAGCCATGAGACCCTAAGGGCACTACTAAAAGCACCGACCAGGTACTTCTAATGGTCTAGATGGGCTCCACTGGATAATCACAAGGCTGGTGTGCTCCTTCTTCCAAGAGCTGAGCCTCCTGCGTTCTTGGTCCCATTGCTTTCTTGCTATGTGCAGGAGACTTGCTCAAAGCCAAAGCATCTGTTTGCCCTGTCTCTCTCCATGTGTCTGAGCCGTTGAACCTTGGTCCTTTGCAGCTGTTAGAAAGTGAGAGAGACTAAGAGACAAGAGACAAATCCCCTGGCTCACTGGCCCATCTGTTCTCTCACGAAAGCTTCCTGCATGTGTGAAATAAATGAAAGTACATCACAGAGAGGAAAAAGGTCAAAACACAGCTAACAGCTAAGCAGATATCTGTGGATTATAATTGCTGGCATACTTATCCTCTGACAGAAGATATCCTGCCCTCCAGATATTGGGGCTCTTTGGGTTGTGGAGCAATAGGTGCCAGCTATGCACAAGGTTGAGACCTCAGACATTGTCTGTGTCTCTTCCAAATTACTTGTCTAATGCAGTGTAAGATCAGTTCACCAGAAGCACTGAGGGTCATTGAAGTTATGGGACGTTGGTGCTGCAGAGCAGGATCAGGGATTGTGAGAGTCAGAACAAGTGACACCCTTGTGCAGGAGAGGCAGGAGAAGCCAAACACAGTATACTTCCCACTTACCTGTCCCATCTGGCCTTGCAGTTTAGTCGCATGTAAAGTGAATAACCATGTCCATACAGTGGCCTGAAGAGAGAGCTCTCAGGAACACCCCAGAAAATGAGGGAGGCCACAGCCTGCTGCGTTGTTTATGCTATTCTTCTGAACTATGTCTCAGCGGTACAGTCTAACCTTTACCTCTCTCAGTTCAGTGAGGATACTAGACAAACTCTTTTCTTAGACAAGCTGTAGTGTTGGGTGACAGAAGTGGAGCATTGAGTGTGCTGCTGATGTTTCAGTCAATGTCTCTGCCAGGATATGAGTGATATTTTAAAATTTCACTGGGAACAGGCTCTTTCTCCCCCTCCAGACAGTGAGGAGAGCAGAAGGGGAGAACACCAGGTCTGGGTCTTTGGTGGGAGCAGACAGACAGATCTCCCACCAAAGTCTGAAGGACTGAGACAGCAACTAATGGCATCCTACAGAGCTGAAGAAAAGCCATTGTGTCTCAGCTCCAGGGTAATCCTGCATCACTGGTAGGATGATAGGGTAACACAGAAGAATCCTTTCCAGATACCAGGTAGAGGAACTAGCCCACTTGGCTGTGTGAATCCATTTGTACAGAGCTCATCTTGCAGGAGATGTTGTCTCTGGCAGGGATGAGCAAACATAGACTCCCACCGTTTGCCATCCATCTCTGAAATGTAAGGTGTAGAGATATGGGTAGACTTGTCTCCCTTCATCTGGATGAAGAATCTATGAGCAGGGAAAGGATCTCAGGGTCTCCACTGAGATTTGAACAAAGTCTAGGTCAGAACTGTGTTAGCTTGGTTTAGACAGCAAATGAGACCAAGTGACGGGGAGGGTCTTGCATGGTTGTGTTGACTGATGGAAAGGGAGGGGAGGAGGTGGTGGGACATAGAGTACACATCTCAGGCCATGGAAGAGTCTGCTTGTCCCCAGGAGGTACATAGTGGAAAAAGTTGTGGGAGAACAACGATTCAGCAGTAGCAGTAGCATTTCTTCAAGTCTTTTAAAGATGCCATAGAGCCAAAGAAGGAAGGGAAAAAACTCTAGGTTGTTTCATGATTGCATCCTGTACAATATGGAGGAAGGCAGGATGTATCTGTGTGACTCAACCTGTTCTTCAGGGATGTTCTTGTTTGGAGGCTTCAGGCAATCTCAAGACAGCACAGCAGCCACAACGTTATCCCTGCTCCCAGCGACCTCCCTAGAACAATTGTGTTTTGCTGATTGCTCCAAAGTGCTTAGACTTAGCTGAGACATTTGATACTCAAATCCCACATCTTGTTTTGCTGGTGGGAGTGGTTTAAGGAACGCAACCCACACCAAATGTGTGGCCTAACTCAACACACCGGTGCACTGGATGTTCAGTCCGGGTGAAATCTCACCCTCAAACACCAAGAACTGAGAAAAGAGGTTGTACTGAATCCCGGGCTAGATGTCCTTTGCACCAGGAGGCATGAGAGTCTGGCAATCTCACACACACACAGAGATATGAGAATCTGGCAATTTCACACACAAAGAGACTTCGCGGCAGTCGGTGGACCTTTGTTGCTGATGAATGAAGTACCTGGTCGGTTGTGAGCGGTTGCAAATCCTGTAGCTGCACAGGAAGCCCATTCGCTGTTTTGGGGCTGCTGCACTCTAGGCCAAATGACACCTTGTGCAGCGAGGGGGAAGTTGTTGTTCCTTTGGGATCAGCTGAGCGTATGTAACAGGGAAAAGATGTTTCAGCAGTACCTCAGAGCCCAGGTCTGCTGGATTCTGCTAGGTGCTGTACAGACAGAGCAAAAAGTCTGCTCCTGCTGTTAAGAGAGATTAGGAAGTGTGTGTGAAGCCTGCTAGAAAGGATGCAGCAATACTTGTAGCCTTCTGGAGGTTTTTTAATCAGCCTTTGAAATATAAAGCTTTGTAACTTGGGTGTTTTAGCCTAACACCGTACATGAGAAGCTGTAGAAGCGATGAGCTTCAGAGATAAAGCTGATCCGCAGAACAGGACCAGACTGACTCAAGGAGCCACAGGGTGTTAAAAATTAGGCTAAAAAGTTTCTAAGCAGGTAACAAATTGAGCGTGGCAGCTTGCCATATATGTACTATTACACCTATGTAATCACATGGCATTTGGCTCAGGGTCGTGCTGAAGCTCCTGCTTCCTGGTACTGGACAACTTCGCTGTCATTTACCTTCTAAAGCCTGGACAAGATGAAACATTAATGCACTGCCCACCTTAGTCTGCAACACCTTACAAGGTATGAAAAACTGACTATTGTGGTTCTTTCTTTGTACAGAATTTGTAGGAAATATGGTGCATATGTAATTTTAATTCACCTGCTCCATTCCACGATAAATATTTCCAGTAAAGGTCTTTTACAGTCAGTTTCCCAGAATACTCTGGTTTCCTAAAAGCCAATTTTCTTGCTCATACCTGGATCCCAGCTCATGTTGTCAGTGACCTGCAACATGCTCACAGAATAGTGGATTCCTGAGAGAAGCAGAGCAATTTCCTTGCAGAGAGCTGCACAGAATTTTGCCTTTCTTTCTGGGAGCCCTCGAGAAAATGCCAGGGAGTTTGTGCAGCCAAGGACACGGCTGGACTAGAAAGCAGAACTGGAGAAAAGGACTCAGTAGGCACACAGCAAGATTTTCAGTCTTTTTTATTTGGCAAATCTCAAGATTGTCACTGAATATTTTGTCACACGAGCACATAAACATGCATTTGCCTCACTGCATCCCTCTTATGCTGTGAAACACAACTTTTAGAGCACTTTGATTAAGAGCTGTGGCAGGTATGTAGCTGAAGGGCTATCGAGCAGTAAATTGTACAGATGTGGGAAAGGAGCTGAGTACTAACAGGCAGGTGGCATTTGTGTGGAGACGAGTGGCCTTTTGGCATGTAAGAGTGGGCATCAGTGTCTGTGTCTGGGTACACATACCTACTCAAATCTGTCTTCTGAAAGTCTGTCATAGCCTTTGTCAACATGTCTTTTAGTTCCTTGTTCTCCTTCTCAGCTAAGTACATTTTTACCCAAGAAGGATGCCCATTTCCCAGCAGGCCATCTTCATCCTCCCTGCTTATTCATTAGCAGAAAGCATATGCCTGCAGTTTGTGTACCTGCTATAGATGCAGGGGAAGGCAGTGATACCATTGCTGTTAGGGGTCCCGCAAAGCGTTAGTCCTGCTACTGTTGGTGAGGAGGCAAGTAGCTCCACATAGTGGCTGAGATCCCCCTGATTATGTGACAATGTCATAAGCTTTTGTGAAGAGCACGTAAGGTAGGCTGGAAACACAGATTCTCTTTCCACACAAATGCTGATTAGAGACAGCGAGGAACAAATGTTACATAAAATGTACACATGCTGCTGAGGCAAACATCTTAAATTTTTAATACATGTTTGTAAGTAATTATTTATCCTAGGTGTTCCAAGCTAGGAGCATCTGACGTACTAGCTCTAAAAAGCAGGCAGTCATGGGAGAAAGAAAAGCAGCATATTGTGCAGCAGTTGTTTCATCTTCTTGTGGCCATATAAGCGAGTAGCTCAACTCTGAAGTCATGTTACTTTTCATCCCAGACTACACCTTTCACAATGACTTGTTCCCCATGTTTCATTATGGGCCACAGAAATGCTACTTTTCTCCAGTGCTCACAGTCTTTCTTGTCCACATGGTCTAAATATTGGATCGGGCTTTCCTGTATGTTCCACACAGCTTTAACCGGTGGCTCCTGAAGAAGCAGCAAGCAATAAATTCTGCAGCACTGCAGTGCAAACTGCCTTTGAATGGCAAGTTTTGGGTCAATGCCAGCTTGCTGAAAATCAAATGAGAACAGTTTTCAAAGCTTTGTAATGTTATGTTGATGTATAGAATCATAGAATCATAGAATTACTGAGGTTGGAAGGGACCTTTAAGATCATCAAGTCCAACCATTAACCTACCCTGACAAAACCACTTCTAAACCATGTCCCCAAGTACCTCCAGGGATGGTGAATCCACCACCTCCCTGGGCAGACTATTCCAATGTTTAATAACGCTTTCAGTGAAAAAATTTTTCCTAATATCCAATCTAAGCCTCGTTTGACATAACTTGAACCCATTTCCTCTCATCCTAAATGTAATGTCACATTGCCTCCCTGCTCTTGTTCTGTGCAGCTGCTCCACATGAACTAAGCACTGAAGAACTTCATTTGTCAAAGCTGATGGTACCATTTGAGGGGGACAGGCAGGGGTCCCAGGGTCCCTTTAAAGGTCCTTTTATTTGCTAAGTGCTGGCTTCTGGACTGTTCCAGCATCTAGCAACTGTCTCTGTTTCCTCACAGAGAGGTCTGCAAAGAGCTTGATAAGACTGAGCTTTTGGAAAGGCCCAGCAAGCTGGCAAAGGAGGAAGCTGCTCTTTGGAAGCTTCATATATATGTGATATGTATGACATATACCTATATTTCCCAGAAAAAACCCCACTAGACTATAATCCATCTGGATAGCAAGTATCAGGGCTCTGTGCACAGCAACAGCCTCTGCAAGCTTTCCCCTGCCTCCCCACAGGTTTGGCTGCTTGTGTTCAAGGTCAGCTCTGATATAGCATGGCCATATAGCCTTGGATTCGACTGCTGCAAAAACAGCTAAGCTGGCAGAAAAGGTGGTGTGAGAAGGAGCTATGAGAAGCCTCATCTCCCCCCACAAACCCTCCACCACTTGGTCCAGGAGCTGATTCAAGCTTAGTGGTGGCTGGGTGCTTGCCCGTGATGCTGGGATGCCCGTGCCCAGCCTTGCTGACCCACAGATCAACTTCCCAGCTTGGTCTTGACCTGCCTGGTCACTGTGGGTTTGCCTGGTGATCACCAGTCTGTGGCTGACCCCCATCACCACCACCGGCCCTGCTTTTTGCACCTTGCTTGGGTGCGGTAGGACTGTGCCCTTGTTGGTAAGGACACTGCCCTGCCTGTCCTGCTGCTCCCCACTGCTCCTGGTGCAGCTTTGTATCTCCCTTATAAGGTTACATGTACCTCTATGCACACCTGTGAGGGTATTTTGGGAGTATATGGGCTGGAGGGCCCTCACCACAAGGGGAAAACGACCCCAAGCAGAAGGGAGACCTCCCATTTTTTTAAATACCGAGCTGCACAGACATGCCAGAAAATGGAGACCCACCCCCACGCCCCCACCACGTTCCTGGGCTGTAGCTTTACTTACCATGATAATTTTGCTGTAAAACTCTGTGTCGTTTTTGTAATAGGAATATCTGAAGAGATTCCTTATTTCTGGCATCATCTCCTACAAACCAAGCACGGCACAAAGCAGACTGTTAGCATGTGGTGTCTCCAGCACTGCAGTTGCTGAGCACTGGGAATTTTCATTTCTCAGATTATGTCAATTGGCAATGGAGAAGCCACCCATTTCAGGCTTTGGAGGAAGGTCCCGTAAAAGTAACACAGGCCTGGAAAATGCGTTCTGCACTTGTATATGTGCCTCAGCCATCTGGACAATTCAGACATACAGTGTATGTCTGTGTATCGTGGGACATAGAAAGGTTGTTGGAGCTCAGCTTTCCACACCTTCATCCCTCTCAGCTCAGAAGTTATCCCCACTGTCATTGCCAATATATTTTGAGCAGTGTCCCTAGCAGAAGCTAAGTTCTAAATGAATAGCAGATGCACATGGCCCTTTTATCCCACTGCCTGGGTCCAGTTACACAGAAACATAAAGTACCTGTTTGTTGTTGGTCATAGCGTCACTCAAAGATCGAACGTCAAGAACTTCAAATATGTCAGCTGTCCTCTGCTCTATATCTTTCTCGCAGGCTTCAAACAGCTTCTGTAATGCAATGACAACAGCTGATTACAGCAGCAATCACAGTGAAATGAGAGGTATAGTATGGAAAGCAAGTACTGAAACCACATCTGCATTAGAGTAAATTGCAGGGCCAGTGATTGGTTGAAATACCTGGGAAATAAACTGTTTCATCAAGTTGTTTGCATGTCGAAGGACATTCTTCAGCACCTGTAGGGCCTTATCATTATTAAAGGAGAAGCTGCTGCATGAGCAATTAATATGGAATTATAAAATTATAGAATTATTTGAGTTGGAAAAGACCTTAAAGATCATCTAGTTCCAACCCCCCTGCCGTGGGCAGGGACACCTTCCACTAGACCAGGTTGCTCAAAGCCCTGTGCAACCTGGCCTTGAACACTTCCAGGGATGGGGCCTCCACAGCTTCCCTGGGCAATTTGTTCCAATGCCTCACCACCCTCATAATGAATTTTTTTTTCCTACTATCTGTTCTAAATCTACTCTCTTCCAGTTTGAAGCCATTACCCCTCATCCTATCAACAATCATCACAACCAATGGTAATAATTGCCTTATGTCAGTCTCATCCTTTAAGGCGTACCATTTTGATATTTTCCTTCAGATCCCCCCAGCATCAGAGAAGTGAGTCAGACACCAGAATGAGGTCTCCCATCTACTACTTAAAGCGTTAACCATACGGAAACTGGAATATGTTTTCCCACTTGTGCTTAGCATGGGTGAGATATGGGACTGGGTTTTGAATGCGCCCATCTGAAAGGCAGGAGGAAGCAAATCACCATCAGTTTGTTCTCTACAGCATTACGCAGAGGCCCTGCTCGACTGGAAAATCAGACACCCAAACTTAGTCCCCAACCCTGTCTGATACAGAAATACCGGTACTCAAAGCCTGCTATACTGGCTACACCATATTGATTTGATAAGACACAGCTTGAGAAAATGGACATGAACAAACCTTAATTATGCTGCTGCCAGTTTTATACGTCAAATGGGAGGCTGTCCTGAATTTCTCCCAGTCATGTAGCCTGAGCATCTCATACATCTGCAGCACAGTAGACAGCCGCAAAGGGTCATTCATGTTCTCAGAGTGCTTGTGTACGCTCATCGCTTTAGACAAGAGCTCTTTGTTTCTAGGGCAAGAAGGATATCAAAAAACTTCGCCGAGACAACATGAAACAATGAATAAGTGTAACTATTTTACAGCATGTTATGAATCTATTTCATGAATCTCATGTTTTCTACAATGTACTTCTCAATTATATTATATAGCTGGCAAGCAGCTTTCGTGTGGGAAATAGTGCTTTCTCAGCTCAGTTTTGCGTGATCACAATAGAATTTGGTCAAAGGGCAGCGTTTTGACTATGTCATTGTAGGCTGATTTCTTTTATTAGCATGTTCGCCCTGGGAATATCTCCTTTCCTTTCCAGAACAACCCAAGCCATCTTCCAGGAATGAATTACAAAGAGATGCTGGCAGGTTGAAAATCTCAGGAGAAGGTGCCTAGGCTGTCTGCTCAGAAACAAAGAGTCCCTAAGGACTGGAAGAAGCCAGAAGTATGTGGCCCTTCAGTGTAGAAACATACATTGCATCAGAAATCTGAATAAAGACCTTACCTTTCCTCTAGCTCTTTGTTCTTCTCTTTCAGCTTCTTATATTCCTCTGTCTCCTGAGGCTCTTTTTGGGGGACCTGCTCAAGAAATGCTCTGAAACAGATTTCTTCTGTGAGTTCTCTTTATTTGTACTTGGACACTGGGACAACGGTGGAATCACCCCTCTTGAATAGTCTGAATTCCAGCAAAAGAGCTGTGAGGTGGGAAAGTGCAGAGCACCCAGGAAAAGACTCCAGGGGAGCTTAATAAGCTCCTCTGAAAGTCCCCACAAATCCCCTCAAATCAAGGGGAAAGCTATTTACATCAGAAGAAAGGAAGGTGGGGTTGTGAGGTTCAGAGGTTTAAGGCCTGAAGAAAATGCAAGTATTCTCCACTTGTTAGAATCTACTCTCATCTTTTCTCAAATTGTTTTCTCCATCTTTAACATCAAAACACTATCACCAAACATCCCAAACCTTCCAGAGAGTTCTGTTCTCCTGGATTCCTTTCTCCAAAGTTGTCTGGGTAATGACAGTCTCCTATTGCTCCAGTGGGTGAAATTCTCCCATTTCCAATACCTGCTCTTTAGGTGATAGTACTAGAGCTTAAAAAAAGCCCTCTCTACATGATGACCCTAGGTCAATTGCAGACTCGCACCCTAAAAGTGCTTTTTATCATTCACCAGAGTTTTTTAGCGATTGTATCTTCCATATTACACATCTCAGAACAAGTACGTGCAGCCCTAATATAAAGGAGACCTCTTGTCCCGTGTTTCTTTCCCCTCCTTTCAGAGGAAGTTGTGCCATCTGATATTAATATTCCGATCTTGTGAATTATCCCATCAAGTTTCTGCTCTGTCAATTCAATTACCTGCATTACTGCACACAGAAATGTTGTGTTCAGAGCTTGTCTAACCGTGGAGGTGGTAGACGTATTATGCATAGTGCAGGAGGTTGACTGGCTATGGGTGAAAGGACAAAACTGGGAAGATGAAGTTCAGAAAAACCCAATAGTCACTCCTGACAGCTCCTGTGTCCCTCCTGGTACGGAGGATCAGAGTTGCTGGTCTCCTGCATCTTATAATGATCAGATGCAGCATGCTGCCTAGGGATGGAAGAAAACAATCTATGTCAAGCAGACAGACCTGGCAACAAACGAAGAATGAGAACCTGAATTTGGGAGGTGTAATCTGGATCTAGACTGTTTTCCTGACAGTCTTCTGTAATTAGGCAAACAAACTCAAGGACACAAGTGACTGAGTTTGGTCATCATTTGAATCTAGGTCCAGTGTCTGGGAACCTCTACCTTACATCAGCTCAAGTCTCAAACTTGAGCCACTGTGGAAGAAAGCTCCAAGGTTTCAAAAATTGTATTTCTCCACTCCCAGGCTATCCATGACTGCACACCTGCAAACCCTTCATGACCCTACAGATACTCCAGCCATGATCAGAAACTTTAAAATACCACAGCCTGTCTTCACAGAAGTCTCAACAGGAAACCCTCTTCTCCACACAGCTGCTCAGGAAGGGTATGGAAATCCAGCTATACTATTTGAAGTTTATTAACTCTTGGCCTTTGACACTGAGACTTATTTATGTTGGCATTTTATCCACAAGATCCTATTATTTAAACTATTATTTCTTTTTCTTTCCTCCTGATTAACAACTTCCCTTCTTCTTGCCAGTATCCCAGCCGCTATGCCTTCCTGCAGAGCTTACCTAGCTCATGAGGGCAGTTTTCATGATGAAAACCCAGGAGTGCCTCCGCACACCCACTCAAAGTGTCCTCAGAGCTGCTTTTCCAACCTCCCTTTCCTACATTAGGCTGGATGCCTTTTTCTTGGGAGCTGCTGTTGTTAAGGCAGCCATTTCCTATTCAGAGAAGTATTTGCACAGAGGTGAAAGTTCATCTCACAACATGACATGTTTTCGTGTCACAAGTCCTGGTCACGTGCCCTGATCTGCACTCCAAGACAAACCGGTTTCAGAGACAGCTCGTGCCTGGCCATGACAATACAGTCAACCAGGAGAACGAAAATTTTGTCTGCCTTGCAGGACAGAGCTGTGATAACCAGGGCTTGAGTATGTTTCAGTGACAGTCACAGAAACATCTATGATTTTCCCTCTCTTATATGTGGTCTTAATATAAAGAATCACATTACCTGTGGCAACTCTCCAGAAATTGTAGTCGAGTGTCAATAGACTCATACCAAACTCTTTTCTTCCTGTCCATCAGTCCATCAGGGGAAGAAAGATAAAACACACTAAAGTCAGCAGGCAAGTATCCATTAAAGTCCTAAGAAATGCACAAGCTAAACTTCCCCCCTCCAATTCCTGATCGGCCCCTCGGGAAAAAAAAAAATCTAGATACCAAAACTTCTCAAGGATGTGCTTTGCCAGGTAGGCGGTTTGTGATTTTATGAGTCAGTACAAATAGTGCAACTAAAATACTCTGAAAGTGTAAGATCTGCATGTTATATGATGCAGACCAAACAGCTTCTGTAAATTGGCTCTGGGTTCCCAATATAGCCTGCATAAAATTTGGTGCTAACTCAGAGCCCTCTTTGTGTCTGTCTTATTTGTAATCTTCTGTACGACCTGTCCTAGCATACACCAGCAAAAGCTGATCATTAGGGTTCGCACTAAACACTGTAATTTCTGGTCACCGGACCCACCTCATTTCACTTTCCACCAGCATCATCCTTTGTGTCAGATCATCATATAATGCCTCCAGCCTTGAAGGCTTGTCTTCACAGACTGATGGTTGCCACGGTGGGTTATATATTTTCCTGGGGAAAAAAGAAAATGGAATTCTAAAAATGAAGGGGAAAAAATCCCATACTCTGAACAGGTACCTTCTAAAAGACAGCCCCATGAGCAAAGGTGCTGTGGCTACATTCATGCTAGCGAACCAACCAGAGCCCGGATACAGGCTCCAGAGCACCTGATGTCCCAGCACACTCCTGGATGCAGTTTTGGCACAAGTGAGCTAGTACTCTCCCAGATGATGCCTGGCACAGTTTGGAGGACTGCACAGGCCAGGGTTTGCAAAAAAAATAGATGGAAGATTTGAGCAATCATTAGGTCTGAATGAAGTGGGCAGGATACAGAGACTAATCCTGAAAAACAAACTCAACCCAGACCTGCAGAGTGTGGGGAACAGCAGATGCAGATGGCTCTTCTGCTGAGATTCTTTGCAATGTACTGGAGTGAGGGGGTTTAACAGAGAAGAACAAAGCCATATGTTCTCAAGGTACTTTTAATTTCTACAACTGCTTTGTGCCCTATTTCCTAGTGAGGATCTCAAACATCAACTATTACTACAGAGACAAGCCCAGGTTGAGGCGCTCCTGCAGCTCGGATACAGGTGAAGCAGACAGCAAGCTCCTTCATGCAGCAAGGCAACTTCAGAGAAAGCCTAAGCACGAGGCTTTGCCGTCAGTTTGTGCTGATCCAAGTCTGCACAGCTGCTGCAAGGGGCTGTCCTCCCCCCCTCTCCCAGCACCTCCTTGCTCCGCTCCTGCTGTTTCTGAAACCAATTTTGGATTTGTTCATGTCGTGGTTTCAGCTGGGATGGAGTTAACTTTTTTCCTAGCAGCCAGTGTAGCGCTATGTTTTGGATTTAGGATGGGAGTAGTGTGATAGCGCCCTGGTGGTTTTAGTTATTGCTAAGCAATCAAGGCCTTTTCTCCTCCTCAAGCTGCCCAGCCAGCGAGCAGGCTGGAAGGGCACAAGAAGCTGGCAGAGGACACAGCTGAGACAGCTGACCCCGACTCACCAAAGAGACATTCCTTGCTTTATGATAATCATGCTCAGCAATAAAAAGCTGCGGGAAGAAGACAGAAGGAAGGGGGACATTCAGGGTAATGGCACTTGTCTCCCCAAGTAACCATTACACGTGGCAGAGCCCTGCTTTCCTGGAGATGGCTGAACACCTGCCTGCCCACAGGAAGCACTGAATGAATTCCTTGTTTTGCTTTGCTTGTGTGTGCAGCTTTTGCTATTAAACTGTCTTTATCTCAACCCATGAGTTTTTTCTCACTTTTACTCTTCCGCAACTGGGGTGAGTGAGTGAGCAGCTGCATAGTTCTAGCTGCCAGCTGGGGTTAAACCATGACAGTTTACTTAGATGGATTCCTTTTCAGTTAAATTACTTAATTTCAAGTCTTTCACTGAGGACGTGTTTTCTCTTTAAGCTCAACAATCCAGTATAAAATCTGCATTTAAGTCAGCCTTTCCCTGCAAAACCAATGCACTCAGAGACTGAGACCCTGAAGTCCAGAATCTGTTACACTATTTATGCTGTTCTTTCCAATTTCTCTTCCTCTCACACCCATTTAAGGTCTGCCTCACCCTTTGGAGCTGAACTTGGGCTGAATTTGAGGAAATTAACCACCCCTGTGACAGATAGGAAGGACAGGAAGTAGAAAACAGAGCTTTTACTGAAATATTTCAGTTGGGAAGTGTTTGCAGTCCGTCATTGCAACCCCCCGAGGGACTCTCTAGAAATATTCAGACCTACTAAGGTTAAACTTGGTAAGTTTAGCCAGAGACACCCCCTGTGCAACATACCTGCTGCCTTCTGCCATCATTTCTCTAGGATCAGCACGCCTACACAGTCCTTCAAGCTTCCTCGTTCTGCTGTAGGAAGAAAACTTTCGTGCTGCCAGGAGCACAGGAAGATACTGCAAGTGTCAAGTGCTTTTTGCTTTCACAAAGGGACTTTTCTGCTATGAACAGCAGAAACAAGTCCTTCCTTTTTACAGGAAGAGGCACTATTTCTTTGCACGTTGCACTGCATATTGAGTCTCTCCAGACGATGATGTCAGGGCAGGAGTGGCTTCACCCTGCAGTATCAGCCAGAGCAGTTTCGATTTCATCCCAGTCCCATCTGTTTACTCCTCTGTAGTTCTGCAAGCTGCGCACCTCTCCACTGCTGTCGGCCATGGCCAGCAAGTCAGTCTTCGTTGTTGCTATAGATTTTGGCACGTCCTACAGTGGGTACTGTTTTTCCCTTGCATCAGGTACGGACCAAATCCGCCAGGTGTACTGGGGAAGAGAGCACGGGCTCAAGACCCCAAAGACGCCCACATGCATCTTGTTCAACCAGAAGCAAGAGTTCAGGAAGTTTGGCTACGATGCTGTGATGAAGTACAAGAGTCTGCCCTCCAGCGAAGCTGACAAGTGGTACTTCTTCCAGAACTTCAAGATGCAGCTGTACAACATAGTAGGTGGAACGGTTACTGCTGATGGGAGTCAGAACTATTCGTTTACTTAAGGGGTGTGGGTTAGAGGAATTGGTGATGAGGGCTCAGCAAATTAGGCTGATGAGGATGAATGGATGGAAATCAAAGGGCATTTTGATGAACTGAAGAAGAAATGATTTCTTTTCTTAATTAACCAAAGGCTTCACAGGCCCTTCATTTATGATACTATTCATTGTCTAAAGGCAATAAAACCTGACTGCACACCTCAGTGAAGCCAAATACTTGTTCTTAATGAAAAGCTGCCCTCAGTCCTTGACAGGGAACAAGTGAAGCTTTCTGTAATTCAAAGGAAGTGGGCAACCTCGGGGTCACCATGTTATATAGCTTCCTCTAGCTTGTCTCTCCTTCCCCTGAAATGGTATGCTGAAGCCAATTTATGGGCGGCTAGCTGTCCTTCAAACGTGTAGTGACTATCATTTCTCCCTGAAGACTCTGTCCTAGTTCAGAATTGTTCACAACTTTTTCTGAGTTCGCTCGTTCAGCCAAACAGCAGGCTACCTTAGGGCCTCCTTGTCTGTGCTCTGGGGTCCCACAGGGCCTCACAAAGATGGAATAACCCAGAGCACAGGGCCAGCCTCAGATAAAGTCTCATGCCTGTTCTTTGGCATCCCCCAGTGGTAAGCAATGAGCGCTGAACTGGATGTCGGGGGAGGCCATAAGTGGGAGGCCTCTGTGAAGACTTCTCTCCCTGAGAAAGCTGGAAATGATGTGGTAATCTCACCTGTGGAGTAGTGGGTTCTCACCCCCTTTCAGAGGGGGCTGGAGAGACGTTTAAGTCCCATTTCTCTGCACCCCAGAAGAAAATGTTTAAGGGAAATTTTCATTACAGAATAACAGAATGGTTGAGGTTAGAAGGGACTCTGGTGGCCACCTGCTCCAACCTCCCTGCTCAAGCAAGTCCATATAGACCTGGTTGCCCAGGACTGTTGTCCAGCCAGCATTTGAGTATCTCCAAGGATGGAGATTCCACAATCTCTTAGGGCAACCAATAGAAGGGGTCAGTGACAAGAAAGGGGAACACAAGTTTCTAGGCACAAAAGTAGTTATTTCTGGATCTCCACAGAAAGTGTCTGTAGAAGACATGTCATAACAACTTCCTTATATCACCCTCTCTCCTAACTGAACCAGGAACAGTGACAGAAAATGAGATTGTAAGTAAAAATTAATATAGATTCCCTTTCTCTTAAGTGGCTGCACCTCCAGAATAGGATTCACCTTACCTTTCCTGGGTGTGTGTTACTTAGGCTGGGCAGCAGCTGGACCTGCCTGTTTTTCTCCATTGGCTGTAAAGGATCCCAAGCTAATGGAGCTGATTATCCAATTGATAATCCTTGTAATTTAGGACCACTTTGGTGGCTGCTGAAGCAAAACAAAGGGAAGCATGTGGGGTGAAGGCTGGGTCCTGAAACTTCTTTGGATACAAGCAACTCTTCTTTCGATGCAAGCCACTCTTTCTAGACAGAGTAGGCAATCAGGAACTGGTGGAGGGAGTTTGGGTGTCCTGGGAGAGGCTAAGAAAGTGTCAGAGCAGCCACCTGCCTCAAGCTTCAGATACACTCAGGGAGATACATAAGCCATGAGGACAAATTATAGAGAACATTATAGAGGACACATTATAGAGAAACTGTGTTAGACCAGAGGGTTATGTGTCTACATGTTTGTCCAGCATATATATTTTATGCCATACACAGAAGTATAGGTGCAACCAGAAAGGTCTGAAGACTCTATAGATACACCTGGTGTGGTGATTGAAAGGCACGGACTCCAATATGCAGGATCAAAATCAACTTTATTAAGCAAGCATGTTCTTTATATACTTTTCTACCAAGGCCAGTAATCTTCTACTTTACTTGTTTACACCATCACGTACTCTAAAAAGATCATGTTCCCATTGAGAAGGGAATCTCTCTTCCCTGTGAACAGCACCTCCTTATCTAGGGAGTAGCTTCACACAACTTCATCATCTGCCAGAACAGTGCTGCAGCTGCTTATTCCTCCCTATTAGTTCTACCACACTTAACCCTTCTTTTGCTTCAGTCCCCACAACCTGGGGAATGTATGGTGGTGTCACTTAGAAGATACAGTTTTCTCCCACTGGCTGTTCAGGAGCATCTACAGGGTATTTACAAAATTTGGCCCGGGAGAAACAGCTAACATCAACCACGTTGGTATTTTGCCTGTTGAATCACAGATGTCATGGGTAAGCATCTTGGTAGCTGACTTGCATCAATTAGGCTGCAGTTCGCCACAATACTGAAGCCATTACTTGGAATTTCCTCAGGTTTGGAGACAGGACCTCTTTCTGTGCCATATGTTGTGCAGTGCTCAGAGCGAAAGGGACAAGTCTCTTGCTGAGACTGCCGCATGTGACCCTGAGACTTTTTTTTGGTAGAAAGTCACATCTGGCATGAAGCTGAAAGCCAGCAATGGAAGGACGCTTCCCGCCCTGAAGGTCTTTTCTGAAAGCTTGCGCTACCTGAAGGAACATGCCATGAACACCATCCAAGAGGCCTCTTTCCAAACCGTCTATGACCAGGAGGAGATCACCTGGGTCATTACCGTCCCGGCCATATGGAGCACTGCTGCCAGGCAGTTCATGCGGCTGGCGGCAAAAGAGGTAAAAACAGGGGTTATCCCACTTCCTCAAATTATCTTTGGAGATTCTTTACCCAACGAGGCAGAGGAACTCCTCAACATTTAAACAGCCTGTATTTCAAATTTTAGTCTACCAGGGAGAGAAATCTCTCATGTCGGGGGTGATGGGGGAGAGGATGTCCCAAATTGTCAGTAACAAACCGCTCTGTCCTTTCACCTCACTGCTGACCCCCATGGAGATCAGGTCTGCAAGAACCACCACCCCAGCGTGGGCTCCTGGGGTAAGAACAACCTCCCTAGCAGGTAGCATTCGTACAGTGGTGATCTCACCACCCTTCCTTGAACTGACACTTCTCTCTTGTGATTTTAGGCAGGACTCATCTCTGACATGATTTCTGAAAAGCTGATTATTGCCCTGGAGCCGGAAGCTGCTTCGCTCTGGTGCAAACAGCTTCCACAGGAAGGGTTTATGGCAGAGAGCAGTGACAAGAAGAGGTTTGAAGACTCCCCTGGGATCCAGTATATTGTTGTTGACTGCGGAGGTAAAATTTTCCCTATTTAACAGGTACCATCTTTGCTGAGCACAGAGCATGGCTGTTTCGCAGTGTCTGACACAATGGGCCCCAAAGGACCCAGAGCTTGGACTCCACTGCTGTGCTTGTCATGGGGTTTTTATTTTCATTTCTCATTTAATGAGATTCACAGGCAGGCAGAAAAATGTGAAGAAAAGACAGATTGGTCTGCACTGTGTCCCAGTGCCAGCCACTGCCATGCACCCACATGCTGTTGTATGGCCTGAGCGCACAAGCTCCTGCTGTAGAAGCAAGTGTAGCGCCCAATGAATTGGCCAAAGAGACTAGCTAGCAGGCCATATAGAGTAAATCATTACGAACATTTGCTGGAGCACTTCTTAGTAATTTCTCTAGTTTTCTGTGAGAGTTTTTTCTGTGTAACGTGAATTTCCTGCCAAGAGCAGTCTGGTGATTGTGACCAAATACTGAAACGGCATCAAGAGACCAAAAATTTCTGAGTGTCACCACCGCTGCTCATTTTGACTCAGAGCTTCTCTATCAAAAGGCAGGAGTCAACTATTTACGTGAGGAGGCCAGTCTCCTTTTGTGATCAGAAAAGAAATTGGCTTGTGCAGAGGGCAAGTCAGAGCATCCAGCTCTCATCAGCAATTACTGTAGGATCCTCGAGAGACCAGGCTTGTAAAGAGAAGTGCATAAATTTAGGAAATTTAGAGGTGTGCTGGCAATAATGAAGGAGTGAGAATGAGAAAAGGAAGCAGCAGAAAAGCGCACTTGTGAACCAGGAGTTCAAAAGGTAAGATTATATTCAGTGGAAAGTGAGGAACCTCATGTACTGTAAAGAAAACAGCTCACTCTGTGTGTGTGTATGTGTGTGTGTGTGTGTGTGTGTGTAGGTGGCACAATAGACATCACAGTTCATGAGATCCAAGAAAACCATTACCTGAAGGAGCTACACAAGGCAGCTGGAGGTGGATGGGGAGGCAACAGAGTGGATGAAAACTTCACTGATTTCCTCAAGGAAATATTCGATGATGGCATATGGGATGAATATGTAAAGAGCCACCCTACTGAATTACAACATATGATGTACAACTTCAGTCTACAGAAATGCTCGACTGGCAGGGAAGCGGTCTACATACATTGCTACTACAACTTGACCAGATTGGCAGCGTGCAAGAAGGACATCTCCCACTTCTTCAAAGACGTAAAGGGAGCTGTGTGGTGTGATGGGATGATCATGATTACATATGAGAAAATGAAGAGCTTTTTTGACTACAGTATCAAAAATATCATTTGTACTTTGACGGAAATTCTTAACAAGCCTGAGATGGCCAAAGTCCAGTACATTTTACTTGTGGGAGGCTTTGCATCTAGCGTCATTTTGAGAGATGCGATCAGTCAGGCCTTTAGCAAGAAGTATCATATCCTTTGTCCAATGGAGGCCCAAGCAGCCATTGCAAAAGGGGCTGTTTTATTTGGAGTCAATCCACATATTGTTACCTCAAGAGTCAGTGCTCGGACGTATGGTGTAGCAGTAAATCATGAATTCAAT